TGGTTTTTGCAGTGAAAGAGATAGATGGAAGAAAAGAGGCACTCGTGATCGCCGATCAATCACAGAAGATTACTCAGATCCAGATGAGGAGCAGCAGTACGGTGATCACAAAACAATATTGGTAACAAAAAATGAAACAAAGGAAAGCATAAGTCTTTATCAAGCCGATGTTGATACGGAAATACATAAAATTAATGTAACAACGCGGAATCTCACGATTGTTGATTTACGTCACTACACTCAGTATCAAATATGGGTAAGTAATAATATGAGTAAAAGTGAGTAAATATGGGTAAATGTGGGTGTATGGGCAAATGTGGTTATTTTTTACTTTTTTTGTGGTTATTTTTGTGAATTTTTTTACTTTTAATCACTTTTTTCATTTTTTTTGCAAAAAAAAAGTTATCGTAGCTGTTCTCAACCGACCCATTTCGTACTTGTTTTCGTCTCTTGCACAGAAAAAAATATGAATAAAATTCGAATTTTTTAGTAGTGCAAAGAGATACTTGGTAAGTACTGGATTTATTGAAGGTAAAGATTCTTTAATAAAAAAGCTAAGGATATAGGAAGTCCCGACAAAGAAAAAAAGAAATAAAAAGGAAGATCTTTCGATGCTTGCATTGACAGTTCGATTATCTATATCCATTTGTAGGTCTATGCATGTCAAAATGTATCAGCTCCTGATGGTTCATGCTCACATCGTCCAGGATGGCTGATTGTACGTACGGCTCCAATTCGTAAGTGTTTTTTACGCACTTTGCCTTAAATTTATCTCATTTTGTTTTTGGATGGTAGCACCTCTACTGTGTATCAACCTTTCAAAGCAAGATACACTTTCTTTTGTCTTTTTCCTTGTGGCTGGCTTTTCGCAGGTTTTTCGCAACTTGTTCTGTTGGACGCTGAATTCTACCTTAAGTGCCCGAAAATAGCTATTAATTCATAGATTGGAACGTAATCTTCTCTCCTTCACGCCACTTCAAACATTCGAGTTACCAGCTGTGGTAATGGTAAGAAATGTATACGACTTAATGAACCGAAACATTTCTTACCATTATATTTTACTATTTTATAAATTTTTCTAATTTCTTAAAATTATTTGTTTTGTCCTCTTTCACCTTCGACAATTACGAGGTCTTCCTAAATTTTTGTTCTTTAGATTTTTACCAGTAAAAGCATATGTGTTCCAAGTTCGTGCAAGAAAGAACCAGCAAGTGCTTTGTCTTTCTGGCCCTTGTTTAGCAAATAAATCGACGGAGGCAGACTGAAAGTAAAAATACCTTGACTTCGTCTAGTTTTTTTTTCTGACAAATTAATTGGAACGGCCTCTGGCATGAATAAATTTCAACTTTAACATATTTTTCTATTGCATTGGCCATTGAGATTGTTTCCAGAATATGGTGAATTCAAATAATGCAAAAATTTAGCGTCATACGACCTGGTTGACAACAGAACAATTGAAGTGATTAATGCAACGATATCGAAGGATGATGCGCGAAGCCGTAAGATAACATGGAAAGAGCCACTACAGCCAAATGGCATCGTCCTGGCCTACCGAGTTACTGTGGTGGCCGAAGATCAGGCACAGGTTTGCCATTGCTTATAAGTTGGATTATGTGAGGAAATATTTGCGTTTATTGAAACCTGTACACATTTGTGGTTTCGGAGAGGAAGAGAGGGGAAATAGGGAGGGAGGGGGAGGCAAGAAGCCTTTCGCCTAGCCTCCTTAGGGGCTTAGGTAGCAATTGTTTTACTATACAAAAGTCTGCTCGGTATCCTCTGTTGCTCCCCCCCCCCCCCCCCCCCCCCCCCCCCCCCCCCCCCCCCCCCCCCCCCCCCCCCCCCCCCCCC